CCTTCTGGTTTTACAGTTTGATTTACTATCATAAAAAACAACAAACCCCCCCCTCTAAGTCATAATAGTAACCCAGAATGCTGATAGGATGTGACACTACATCTACTGCTGCTGATAGGATGTGACACTACATCTACTGCAGTGAAATTCTTATGGATTCATCTGTGCCGACATTGGAAATTCCAGAAAATCTTTCTGGAATTATTCTGAGGCACTAACATTTTATACACAGTCACAGCAATATTAGCTATCAGTGCCTGTGATCACTGGGCTGCGCCTACATTGCATCCTCTTCCTGCTTCATGCATCATCATCAACAACCTCCAGCACTCCGTTCCTGAATCAGTCCTCGTTTACTGCTACCTACTTTTCATGATGATGCAAATACAGAAAAAGAAAATCATGTTTTGCTAGGGTGCTTCATACTTGGAAATTTACTGAATATTTACTTTTACATTCTGCCTGTGTACTGATCAACAGCCATATAGGTGACACAGTGCTGATTTAAATAACATACTCTCCAGTGGATGGAACTTGGAGCCGGTAAATGAATATTTGATAGAGTGATTAGAACTTGCCTGATAACAAGACAGTCACAATTTTAGTGCTGTATTTTTAAGCACTCTGTGGCTAATAAGAATCTGTTGTTCTTGATACATGTCCTCATTCTCATTCCTATTTGCTGCAGTTCTGTCTCTCACAGACTATTTCAGGGACAGTCAGAGATCTTTCCCATCTCTGTGCCAAGGTCTGTCTAGGACAAGCAATTGAGTAAGACTGTGAAAACTGCTCGGAGTTTCACTATTATCTGTTATATTCCCTGAAATACATTCTGTCCTGAAGAGTCAAAAAATGAAGAGGGAAAAATTTAATATGGACGATGTTTCTGGAATGAAAGGATGGAAGAGATCATGAGCTGCAGAAGGGACCAGTTGACTCAGGCAGAGACTGTCTGGCTAATGAAGGCCATAAGCATATAGGGTTCTTACCATTTACATGGTTTTCATCTGAAAGATAGAAAACACTGTAATTTCTGTCTACAGCTTCCAACTCCATCTTCCATTAGGGAGGCTCAATTTCCCTCTATTACCAAGTGAAGTAATAGTCTATTGCCTAGTCTGCTGCAATATCTCTGTTGGGGGAAATAAGAGGCAAGGGGCATCTGTGCCTACATTGTTTCTCGTGACTTCAGCCCAAATCTATTCCCTTTTCTCCTAAGAGCTATACTTGCAGAACCCTCCTTGGTGTGACTGCACCACATATAAAAGTTAAGACACCTCAAGTTGTGTCAAGTCCCACTATGTTCCTCTTAGATTTTGACTGACAAAATTCAGAGTGCTTTGAATGCCCTTAAAACTCCCTTTAGACAAGATGATATGTCCTCTGGAGGTGTGAATTTTCCACCATTGTTTGTACAACAAAACTTGGGTGAATAGCTCAGACCTAGAAGTCTGACTTATACATCCATGTTCACTCAGTTTCAGCCTTTTTCTCAGTTTCTCTCAATGTGGAAAATTTATCTGATAAAATGGAAAACACTGCTGGGAATATTTATTTATATTAAAGAAGCACTCTAAGGCATGGTGAATTCTTGATGGGGGGTTGATATGATTAAATTCAAGTTCTACAAAAAGCTCTTGTAATTCTTATCTGATTATTATGTTCAAGACCAGAACAGAGACAAGTTTGAAAAGCCAAGACTTTGCATGTCAAACAAAAGTAGTCCTCAGCATGTGGGGAAAATGGCAGTGATAAACCTACTATTAGGCATCTGGGAGAGAAGCCCAGCATCTCCTCTGTGTGTGGGCTAAAATAGACATGAGCTGCTATCACAGATAATGGCAGCTTGTAGGCACATGAAGGGAGCAACTAAAATCCATTTCACTTAGACAAGAAACTGCAGTCTGATATTTACCTGTGTCCATCACATGTGAAAAGTGTTTGCTGTGAATTATCCAAGAGAAAAGTGCAGGTTGAGGGGTTTCATTACCTGTCTGAGAGTAGTTCCGATCACACATTGAACACAAGAAATCACAGGTAAATCTCAGATTGGTGTCTTGGGTAGTCAAATGGATTCCTGCTATTCATCCGAGTATACACCTTTTTCTACAATTGCTGGAGGCCCACATCCAGAGCAGTGAGAACATGTGCAGACACATAGAAAATGTGAAAGCAAAATAAGCAGAGTAAGCTTTATGTGATTTTAGAAAATTAAGATCACTTTGAAAATAACTCTCAGTCTAATGCCAAGGTTAGAGACTGCACCTTTCACCATTAGAAAACACAATGCACAGGTATGTCTGTTAATGGCTGCTCTATAGCCTTCCTGATTCTGGTAGAAGTTGTAATAAAGAACCCTTTCTAGGAATAGCTGGAATTCCTTGCAGGTATATTGTCATATTTTCACCTTTTCCTCATCAGAAGAGATAATAAAATCAATATATTTCTTAACATCACTTTTGCACATATGACAACATACTGTAAGTGAAGTGCAAGAGACTCTGCAAAACACATATATATAAACTTTTAAATAAAAACTTATAAATGAAGTTTGTAACTTTGCCCAGACTTTGAGTATGTGTGAGAGAGATTCTAAAGTCACAGGTTTCACTAAACCAAATTCTGACCTCCCAGGCACTCTCAAATTCCAAGATAGGATTCAAAGTTAAAGCACCTGAGAAATACTAGAGAAAATCATAGCCAACTGAATGTCATACTATTGTTTCAATGTTTGCTACTAAAAATAAGTGGTAGATTTTAAGTAAATGTATTGTGTTACCAAATCTTTCCTTTCAAACATGCACTTCTGTCAGAAGTGTCTTAATTTCTTATCACAGAATTTCATCCGCACAAGGAGCAATAAATAATTCATGTTCCTAGCTCTTTGTTGTGTGTCCCTGAACTGCACAGAGCTGGAAGGCTGACAGCTGTGTCAGGACAAGCACCAAAGATCTGACATGACAAGTGACTAACAAGTTTCTTTCAGTCTATGGTGAAAGAAGACAATGGCATAAAGTGCAAAAACGAAATCCTGAAACAAAATAAAACTGTTTCTTTCTCTTTACCTAAGTGTTTGCTATGAGCTTATTTCCGACCCATAACCTCTGGTCATTTTATAGTACTGCCCAACCCCCTTTACTCCTCACATTCGCCTGGCCATTTACGCCTGTCCACGGATCAATATGAGCAATTCTTGGAGAAATACGATGTCTCCATGACAACCAAGCCACAAATTCTCAGTGGAAAGCAGTGAGACCAGTAGTGAAATCTCCTGAGGTTTTCAGACCTATAAGACAAGATGTCTTAAAATGCAGGAATGGCCAGAAACAAAAGCCAGAGTAATTCATTGTTTATTACTAGTTTAATGATGTCAGATGGACCGAATGGAACTCAGTTTTTAAGTTTAGATGCTTTATCAACATGTATTTTTGCCAGTCAATATTCACCTCCTGACAAGCTTTTATTCTTTCCATTACTTCATATAGATACACAGAGTGCAGAATTGGATATTCAATTCCCCATCCAAATGTGTACGCTTTGCCACACAGAATTAATTTATGGTTAAAATTAATGTTATCTTTAAGGTACATTAATTCTCACCTGAACACTTTAGTGCCACCTTGTTTTCTTTCTCACTTCAGAACAGATCAGAGCTTGGACAATCCACATTTTTGCCCATAATCATTGCTGAAGGGACTATAGACAGTTTCTGAAGGAGGTGCCATGCACCACAGATTGTAGGTGCGGTAAGGAATTGAACTTGGCTCCTTCCTGAGTAGATTATCTATTTCTTTCTAAATCTCATGCTGGTTTCTGCCGTACAGCATTGAGTCCAAGCCTATGTGGCTTTAGAATGAATACGGATTTACAATTCATTGGTTTCAATTATTCTAACATACACTGGTGTTCATTTCTGTGGAAAAGATGAAAACGGAATGTAGTTCAAATCGGGTATATGACAGCAGTTGAACTCCCAAGGAATCTTGGAGGAGTGGAGTGTGCTGAAATATAATCCCCCAGACGTAGGTCCTATCTGGGTTCTGAGATGACTTAGGGGACCTGACATGGATTTCAGACTGCACCCTTTGACTGAAAATTAAATCTCAGCAGTGTTCCTTGGGGAAGGATCAGGGGACTGTTGGCAGCTGCCCCCTGTCAGCACAGGCTGCAAGATTTGGAAATCTCTTAACTAAGCTGACAGGCCGCAGAGACGATGAATCAAAAATATGATACACGGATGAGCACACAAAGATGCAAGAGGGTACACAGAAGCCAGATAAAACAGGGAAAGAAAATATCAAGTGAAGAAAGATGTTTAACTCTTTCACTAATGAGGACTACGTGCAGGTTATGTATATGGTGTATGTGGTTCAAGCTCACAGTTTGCTTAAAAGATCTTAGTATTTAGTCGCACAGAATGTTTTTAATCAGCTGTGACTCAATACACTTTATATTTAATTGTTTCCCTTTGGGATTCATTTAATAAATTTTGTAGATGTTCCATAACGAGAAAGATAATGAAACTACATGAAGATAAATCTTTTAGTCACCAAAAAGAATGCACTTTATGGATGTTCCTGTATTTAGCTGAATCAATGTTAAGAGCCATTAAAATGAAATAATGATTGTGAGCTGATTTAAAGAAAAGAATCAAGCTATTTAACACTACCAATTTGCTTTCCTCCAGAGATACAGTGTTTGAATGTCCGCTGCTACATTCAACTGCAGTATATACAGTCCTTCTAATTTTTCATAATCTCATGCTACCTTCAAAGGGTCAGACATTGCACAGATATTAAGAAAGCAGTGTAGTCCAAAACTAATTATAATGAACTAGTAGTGTCAGCTTTCTTTTTGGTCATAAAGCTTTTATCCTTTCTAAGACCTGAATTCTTGATGAAAGAGGAAAGGATAACAGCTCCACACTGTGACCCCTGGAGGTGACCATTAATTTGACATTGCAGCTGCTAAAAAGGAAACAGCATTACAATGTGCTTTTTTTACAGACCCAAAAGCTGTGTCAGATTTATCACTTGATACTTGGTGACTGTCTTTAAATGCCTCTCACCTGGACTCTCAGACTCTTCCAAGACACATCTGTCAGGCGGATCCTCCACATCTTGGAAGTTTGCTGAGTTTGAGCTCTTGTCACGCTTCAGCGCACTGACTGGAGCAATAAAGAATAAAAACAGGGGGAGGGAGAAATGTAACATATTCAGAAACAAACACTTCCTGATTTTCTGCAGAACTTTCAATGCTGAAGACATAATTTGTAAACACAAATAACAGACTGAAATAAAACAGAAACTCCAAGTACTTACATGCAACCATAGCACAGTTGAAAAATCTATAGACAATTCATTCAAGGAGAAGTTTGAGGCATTGGCTTAAATGTGATCCCTTTGAAGTAAAAAAAAAAAATTTCCTATAGAATCCTAAAATAAGAAAATAATTTAGAAGCCATAAAAAGTGCCTGTCTGTTTCACCAAAGAAGCCAGTAAACAATATAAGAGATCAGTTAGGTGGTTTTGTAATTACTGGAGTCATTCACCAGGGAGAGAAATGGTGTTCATTTTAACATGAAAATATGTTGTATATAACAAGCTAGAATGTGAAATAATATTAGTCATAATTCCGAAGTGCAGTAAAACCGAGACTGAGTTGCAGTTTAGAGATTACCAAATTTGATTCCTTCTTTTATTTAACTGCTAAAACCATTTTCATTTCAGAGCAGGAAAATAGTTTCATGGAAACAATTATTTATCTGTATATGACTCTTTAATTCACTTGACTTTTGAACAAATCCCGCATAAGTGTTCCTGAACAGAAGAGAGGTATTTCCCTTGTCAATGTCCATTTCCCTCTCTTCTGCTCCAAATCTCCATATGGAGCCACAAATGCAGCATGAAGATAAAGTATAATTATGAAACAATATATTATAGAATAGCACAATAAAGACTAGATCTCAATTTTTCAGTCCCATTAAAACTCCTAGCTGATCATATTTCTTACGAGAATAGTGGTGACCAGATAATACTTAATTTTTCTAATATCTAGAAAATTAAGCAAGGTTCCAAACTTCCATGTGGATGGGGATACCAATGGCTATACACAACCTCAGTATAGTTTTGTCCTGTTTTCAAGACAAGAAATTTGTTCCCTTATAACTTTTGATGGCTCTTTTTTTTCTTTAACCAAATGAATACTTGCTGAAGGATTACTTAATTTAAACACCCATTTAAATTTTCTAAAATTATGAGTGAATCAACAAGGCCTTAGGGCATTATTCAGACAGGAAGAGCTCAAAAGACACATATTCCACTTCAGTGCTCTGCACTTTCCATCGGTTTGCAGCTATTGATCCCGGGTCACCAAAAGGTTCCATCATTCTCGACTCCTGCATCTATACAGAGTCTGTTTGAAGCAATCAGGGCTTCAATACAATTGTGGAATTAGATCCTTGAAAATGCAATATTAAAACATAATAAATAATAAAATCTATGATGGTTACACTGTGCATTTCACCTAAAAAAAAAAAAGCCAGTAAGTTTTGCTTAAAAAATCTGCCTTGGATGGCAACTAACCAGTATATAAACACTTGCCCAGGCAAAGCAGGAACACTGGTTAAATTTCTAAGCTTACAAAAAGCCAGTAGACTTGTATCAATGGTCAATTTATCCACATGAAGAGGAGTTTTTGTTCCTGTCTCTGCCATGGAAGTGTTGACATGAGAACCTGCATGAGGTGAGTTGACACTGAAGAACAACTTACAATAAATAACAAATTTTCTTGTTCACACATGAAAACACTATAATATGTGCAGGAAGAAATGACTTCAGAGATATCTGTGCTTTTCTCTGATTTTTACAACCTTTAAGTGATTTTCAAATACACCAATTGAAGGCCAGGATTCCCACTTCAGAAAAGAAAAATTGGAAAATACAAGTGTGCATATTATATTTATTTTTAAAAAAATTGTTTTGTGCCAAATTAGAACATTCTTTCCAAAACAGTTCTTCACATTAAGCAGTCAGCTCCACTGTGCTGAATGATAGTCATTACAGCTGCATAAATTTAAATGTCAGAACTACTCTGAAATAGACCGATAGGAAAATTTCCAATAGAATATACAGTGATAAAAGGGAGAAGACAAAAAGTACGGCTATGCCTCTGCAGAGAAAGAGAAAAATCACAAGAGCTGTGGTCTCTAAAAGACATAGCAGTGACCAAAAATTCAGAATCAGCCTTTCAAAACGAACGTTGTATTGTCACCCAGTACAGAACTCTCATAGTGAACCAAGGAGGGGAGACGCTTTCACAGCACCAAGCACCAGTCCCAGTTAGGAGATGGCAGGCACTTCCCTTGCTGGAAGTCTGTGCTCTAATTGCTCTTGAACGGAACTAGGACAAACCTGTTCAAGTGCTCTCCCTCTGTCCCAGACCATGTCAGCATAAGTCATATAATTCAAACTAACCCTCTTGATTTTACAACAAAGCAGAGCTGAGAAGTGGTTTTAGGGAAGGTATCAGATTCAGCTGAGAACTAAATTAACTCAGAACATAATGAATAAAAGACAGCCAGGAGCAGGTCCATACACAGATGAGATACATAAGGAAGGAACGAAGAACAAGAAAGAAACCAAGACAGTCTGGCAAGATCCTTGGACAAAGCAGGATGATCTCCAGTTGATATGCTTGAGTAGAGATTGCAGAGATTTGGGGAGATTCGGGAGACAATGGACTCACAAATGGACAAAAAACAGTGATGAAACACTCACACCAGTAGTTGGTGGTAAGGAACCATTAGGAACATTTTAAAGGGAACAGAAAGCATGGATGGAAAGTGTTTTCACAGGGACAGAGAAGCAGATGTCTAGACAACTTGTGTAAAAAGAGCTGTCAGAGATAAAGAGTGAAGGGAGGAAAGTGCATGTTTCAGAAAACTGGGAGACAGGCTGGGACAGGCTAGGACTGGGTCACTGGTGTTGAGTGAGGGATGGGTATCTTAGCCTTGTCACTTGGAAGTACACATACCTGCCTAGACCAAACTCAGGCAAATAAACTTCACAATACCCTAGTTTATGAAGTTACACAACGAGTGTACGCAGTGACCAAGAAAGGGACCTAGGCAGAGACCTTCAGATCTTTCTTTTTTAAAACATCACATGTTATATGCTCAGTTTGAAGAGGAATGTTCCTTAAAAATATCATAAAAGAACAAAGGGAACTGAAAAGTTAAAAATAAGGAAAGAACAGTCTGGCCCAAATAAAGTGTGACTGTAAAAAATGGCATTATGTAATCATGAAAAAAAAAATCTTAACACTGACACCTACTTTACTGTATTTTCCCTTAGGTGAATAGGATTTTACTTTCAAGTGTCAATAGGGGAAATATTGTTCTGAATTGCTTATACCTAGGAAGCTGTGGAATTTAAGTTATTTAAACATAACCAGCATGATTTTTATTCATTCTGAGGATACTCTGTCCTACTTTGGGTTTAAACAGACCTAAAAATTACTTTTGCTTCCATTTGAAAGCTAATTTGTGTAGCCAAAGTGATGTAAATATCTCGAGTATAAATGATCCCCAAATCTACAAGTCAGAGAAAAAGTTAACAAACAACAATTTCTGATATAGTAACTCCAATAATATTTTCTTTCTATTCAGTGCAACGTAATTTCAATTATTACATGGACAGTAGAAATTACCTTTGTTAGCATGGAAGTAAGGTAAAAGGACAGATTTCATTGAGGCAAATGACCTTGAACTTAGCATATAAAAATGACATAAATCTTCATTGTACAGGATCAGTGTTGAGAATTGTAGTAATTTTTTTTCTGATGCATCTTAATAAGCTCTTAAGAGTTGTTTACTGAACTTGATACCCATTCTCTTACATTATTGAAACAGAAAAAGACATTAAAAAATAGGTATGGAATTTAGAAGAGCAAAAGAATGTCATAAGATCATAGTATTCAATGAGACATTTATGTAGTTTCAAAATATTTAAAATTCCACAAAATAAAACCAAATTATTTCCAAAAAGAGATCACAGACTGATCCATGATCATTCTATGAAAGAACAGTGTTTGAGTGAATGAGCTGTTAAATGATAAGCTGTTCTTAGTGAATATACACTAATCACTAATTACAGCAACAACTCATCACTATAATTTATTTCTACATGTTCTGTTTAAACTCTGAAAAGCCTTGTTCCACTCTGGAAATATCATACACTAAAGTCTAAATAATCTGCTCTGCCTACCAATTTTCAGAGGGCAGACACATTGGAGAAAGAAGTCTGCATAACACAGGTGAATAAACCAGTTAGTGTTTTCTGAGAAGATTCCTTTGTTATTGATAAGGTGGATTAGTAACTTAAAGACAGTCTGTCTGTAGAGAAAACAAGAACTTACTTGTCATTCAAAACAAGCTGATAGGGCAACAAAAATTATTTTTCAATCAAAACTATTAGGCAAGATAGGCTATAGGTGATAAATATACTTAAGGTCCAATACAGAACACGAAGCAACCTGAATCTAAATAAAACTGCATGAAAAAAGCTGTAAAGGAAAACAAAATACTGGTATTTTTTTATTTTTGTAAATGGATAAAACAATCATGCTGCAATGCCACTTCTGGGATGTATGGGATCTACAGGCACTTACCATACTATACCTAAGAAGCCTGATGGAGACCTGGGCAATAAATGCTTTGAGTGCTATTTTAAAAAGCACATTTCATAGGTATCACAAAAAGCATAAGAACAGCTGTACTTGCTGAGACCAAAGGTCACTGTAGGAGTCCAACAACCATACAGAAATTTCTCCTAAACTCCAATTTGAAACTTGGGCAATTCCAAAACTTTTTTTTTTTTTTAAACATTTAATAACTCACAGTAGCTTTCTGTTCCACAAACTTCTCCAGTTTTCCCTTAGAAATATTTGCATCCTTAACATCCTACACCCTAGCTTGCCTTAACATGACAAGCTCCATTGTCTTACCACATAGATAGGCATCTCCTTTTGCTTGTTTGCACATGTCCCAATTAATGTGATTAATAATGTGAAACTTATTTTTGTATGAGAAAAGGCACGTGTACGAGCCCTGTACACTCTCTCCATGACACCTGTGATTGAATGGACCTTTGTTTTATCCTCTTTCAA